GTCAGTCCTGTAGCATGGAGGTTAAGGACTGAACAGAGGAAACAGGATCCCATGTGGCTCACCAGAGTATGAACCCAGGTACTTGAAATACATGTACCTGTGTCTCCAGGATCCTGACAGGATGGAGAAAAACGATTCACATGTGACCAGCCCCGTTGGAGAGTGCTGGTGATACATTCTCTCTCTTTCTCTCTCTCATCTCCATCTCTCTAGCATTAAGAAAATTATGTTACTCTTTTGGAAACCAGCAGTTGGCATAATGGCTTTGTCACTGGACTCCCACGTAGTTGACCACGGTTCGCGTCCCGGACCCGGTGGCTTAAAATTCACGCCAGGCACATGTGCATATGTGCCCAAGATCCCGAGAGGAGAATGGAGGAGAAGGGATTGGGGCATGACCATCGCCCCTGGGGGGTGATTTCCCGCTTTCTGTCTCTCTGTCTCTCTCTGTCCGTCTGGCAAGCGCACGCGCCCTATAGCAAAAACCTCTCCAAAAAAAGAAAAAGAAAGAAAGAAAGAAAAAAAACTCTTTTAAATATTATAAACATTAAGAAAACTATTCTACTCTTTTAATAGTATATATTATTTATTTATTTTAGGTTTTTACCATAAAATGTGTGCACTCACCAGAGAGAGACAGAAAGAGGGAAAGTGAGGAATCATTCTTCATAGAGGATGGCCAATGTGGCAATGTATTCTCCTCCATTCTCCTCTCAGGATTTTAGGCATGCACACACATGCATCCAGTGTGATTTTCAAACGACTGGATCTGGGTCTTGAACCAGCGATCGTCCAGTGCCTTAATCACTGTGAGCCTGCTGGACTAATACTATATAATTTTAATAATAGTAAAAGTCTGCATTTTGTGTTACATTCTTGCTCTATGGAGTTTAACAAAAATAGAGCCTAATCTTCGAGCTCAAGCTACTCTAAGGAAGTACTGCCATTTGTCTTTTATAGACATTTTCTTGAGCTCATACTCTGTGGCAAACTCTGTACTAGGCTCTTTTTTTAAAAGATCAGACAAGTCAACCATCAACAATAATTCACAATTGTTGCCAACAGGTGGCATGGTAGTTAAGGCACTGGATTACCACATGGCTGACTGTGGGATCCAAGTTCCAGACAGGTGGCTAGAAATCATGCCAGACACATATACATGTGTGCTCAAAATCCTAAGAGGAGAAATGAGGAGAACAGAAGAGAAGGGATTGTGAAGTGGTCATCCCCCTCTGGGAAATGATTTCTCAGTTGCCCATTCTCTGTCTTTCTCTCTCTCTCTGGCAAGTGCACTCACCCTATGGCAAAAACCTGCCAAGAAAAAAAAAAAAAGTAAAATAATGTAGAGGATCAGCAGATGTTGTAGCAGTTATTTCACTGGATTCCACATGGCTGACTGTTGTTTGAGTCTCAGACCTGGTGGCTTGAAAATCTTGCTGAGCGCATGTGTGTACATGCCTAGGATCCTGGGAGGAAAATAGAGGAGACGGGATTGCAGCATGACCACGCCCCTAAAGGATGATTTCTTGCTTTCTGTCTCTCTGTCTCTATCAATGAGCGCACGAGTCCTATAGTAAAAATCTCTCCAAAAAATGCAGAATTATTAAACTGAGATAAGCTGACATTTACATTCAACTCTTTCTAGAAAAATCCCATATAGATGCTACAAACACTCGTTCTCCTGTCTGTAGCATTGCTCCTCTCTAGTCTCTTCTCCACACTGAAACCAGAGGAATCTTTCTAAAAGCACATCTGATCAACACTTAAACAATTTGCTGGCCCTACTGAACAACCATAAATTCCTCAAAAGTGTCTCTTTCATCCTTCTGAGCTTTCACAATGAAGCACTCTCTAACTGAAGTCATCCTCTTTCTATTTCCCTGATTCACCTCATTAATACCTACATTTCCTTCAGGTATCAGCTGAAATATTACTTTACCAGTTTGGAGCTTCTGCTCGTGACCCCCGCCCCCCATAGCTTGAATGTTCCCTTTTAGCATTTATCATACTTTAGATGCATACTTAATATGGCTATAATTATATAGTGTGTACACATTTGTATTATTTCTCATTTAATTCTAGTTACACACATTTTTATGACATCTAAAATATTTTTTCAATGACTGCATAATATTCATTGAGCAGGTAAAATCATAGATTACCAAACAATTTCTCTTTCAGTGTCTTCCAATTTTTCACTGCTATAAACTACACTGTGATGGTTATCATGAATAAAATATATTGTGTTTAGGATGATTTCTAAAGCATTGCATCTAAGAGGTAAACTTATCAAATCATAGTAAGATCATTTTTAAAATTCTAATACTTATATTCAAATTGCTTTTCCAAAGTATTTTGCCAAATTTGCTTCTGGACAATATAGAAGGAAACCTGTTTCCATATTGCTTTGTTAACATTGAACATTTTCATTATTTGAAATAATTGCTAATTTGCTAAGAATCATATTTCATTGTTTTAATGTAGATACTTTATATTACTGGTGAGCTGAAACATCTTCCATATATTATTTACAGAGCCCTTAGAAATTGCTATTATGTTTACATTTCTTGATTTCTTGTGGTGGGGGGGGATATATTATATATGTTCATGTTTACCTGTTGATTTTTCTCTTTTGTGACTAAATGCAATTAACAAATATATACATATTTGTATTCAATAATGCTGATTTTATTTGAGAAAGGGAGACTTTAAAAGGCAGGATGGTTTACTTTCTCTAGCCAAAAGCACTGATACTAACCGTGTGCTGAAAAAACACTTGGGAAATTTGAGCTGAAAATTTCAGTAG